CATCATAATAGTAACTGGCTGATAGCTGGTGTAACAGAATGTGAACATTTAAAGGATTGTATTGCTACTGGTAATCACTGCATATAGTGTAGCAGTATTTTTCCTTAGGTAATACCAGCTCCGTGCAAAATGAGAGTTTCATCGTATGTTGGGCAATTATCTATTTAATAAAGGGCCAGATCCTTAGTATAAATGAAAAAGGGAAATATATTTTGACTAGTAAGGTAGGCCACCTTAAAAGCCTCATTTTATTATCTGTTAATTCCATTTGCCACTGTCAAAAATTGAGTTCTAAAGAGATCATTAATACCCTGTTTTAACTATTTTTTTCCATTTGACATAATTTTGTTATCACTTTTAAGACTTGTGAGCTACATCTAGATTAGTAAATCAAACTCATCTCAACTATTCTCTGAATATGATTCCTTCTGTCAGCGATCTGCATCCATTACACTTCCTCAAGGTCAAAGTGGGCCAGATACATCCAGGTTGATATTGGGAGTGGTACCTAGCCCTTGTTAACTTCTGAACTCTGTCAATTAGCTGTTTGAGACATTGCTACTTGGCACACATCAAAACTGTCAGAGGCTATTAAAAAGAATTTTGCAGGACACATATGTCTGAATTCCAGAATCCAGTAACATTCCCAGGCACCATTTTTCTTACTGCGTTCACAAAATCATCGTCTTATGAAGTGTTCCTTAGAAAGATTGTCTATTTGAGGCACCTGTATTTAAATTCATTCCTTCCCAAAAATGAGCATTTGCATTGTTCAAAACAGTTACATAATCTTACCTCTTGATCCTCAGCTATTCCTTCTTAATGAAAAACAGTTTGCTCATAGTTTTTCATGCACATGTACTGTGGAGAAACCTTTCCTCACAATTGTGAAAATGTCTGAAAAGTAATGACTGATTATAAGGGAGACCCTCATCTTTAACTTCAAGCAACTTACACATCAAAACTGGAAGCCTGAACAGAATGGTTGAGCTCCCACAAAGATTTCAATGTTCTAAAAACATATTTGGCAGTCTTACCTCATTCTGCTGATCCATGTCTTGTTCCAAGTTTCATGAAACATTTGATTTAAATTTACTTTTCATAACAAATGACTCTGCAAAGATCACACTTACTTTATTTCAATTATGACTACTATCATTAGGAAAACATGTCACTTCTGGGCAAAATGAGATTTATCTGAAGAGGTTTTGCTGCACAGTTTGAGGCACACTGTGATAAAGTGTTGATGCTGTTGAACTGCAGGATTCTCACTGTTCAGATAACTGGTATATGGATATGAGGAAGTGTACAGTCATAGGAATGTTGTTTCCACATAATTGCTTTCTGTGGTGGCATTTTTTCTCCCCATATCCAATTTGAATATTCAACCTTTTGCAATGCTTTTAGTTGTTTAATAATAATAATTTCAGTATCATTTTAGAAGTATTTTCTTTATCCCATGACCTTTAGCTTTAGAAACATAAAAATAGAGAATTTATCTATGTCAATTAAGGTCACAGCAGACAAACTGAACTGAGCAAATCAGGGAAGAAAGAAAACTCACATGATTTGATGTTATCATAAGAAATCAATTTATCCTCAATGCTCAGACATGACATTTTTGACACATGTAGAAAGGCACTTCCTAGATTGAGAAAAGTAAGGTAATTAAAGTTTGTCTTGTATTCCTTATCATGTAATATAAAAACTAAAATATTCATAAACCAAGTCAGAATGAATTTCTTCATGACATCTCAAGTGATTTAATGAACACTGATGACAGAAGTTTCACAGAGCTTGAGGACTGTAGCTTATTTTCAATTAAGTATTCATGTTACTATCTAGTGTCTTAAACCTTCTACTCATGTTTGCAGCATATTTCTTTCCTTTCAGTCACTGGAGGAAGCTAGTGATGTCTTAACATGACAATTTTTCTCTTGGTGAGCACATTCCCATGAGTTTAAATTCAAAACATTTTATTGTTTCAGTTTCCAATGGTTGTAATTTGTTGTCAAATAGCTGTTTATAATGTCATATGTGAAGGAGGTATCTGTAGCACAACTGCATGGACAGATTAGGCAGAGAAATGTATGCACATTTTTGTGTTTGCAATTCCATCTTTTGGAGTGTCCTGGGTTTGAGTGAGTGGTGGGTTTTTTTGGTATCAGGAGAGGGGGCTATAAGGGTGGCCCCTTGTTAACTCAAACCCCAGTTGAAAAATAAAATAAATAAATAAATATGTAAAAACAAGTCAAATTAACCTTTTTGGTTTATCACATATTAGAAAATTTAAGTCTACATTTGAAATGAGAAGCAAATAAATATGCAGACACTAAATTTCAGTGCTCTTTTGTAACTGTATTTTTAAAGCAATGAGATAACTGGATGTCCGATAATAATAGTGGTAATCTGGATAATGACCTCTCATGATTCATAGACTAATCTGATTGTCCACTGGGATCACTGAAAACATTCTGCCTTCCTCTCATTTACATCATAGATATGTGTCCAACTGGCCATTGCTGGAGTCAAGAGAGTAGACACCATTAATCCTAATGGTCTGATCTGATGAGGCCAATTACTCATTTCTATTTATGAGTTCTCTGTACTGCAGGAAACCACTCCTGCTTTATAACTTACAGAGGAGAGAAAAAGGAAGAGAAAAGAAATTTGACTTAGGATATCCCCTTTAACATATTTCATCAAAAGAATGAATAAAATATTTATTCAGTTACTGTCCTTTGCATTACTATCAAAGTGAAGAGAGAGAATTTAATAACACATGGAAACATTAAAGAAGCTTTTTATCAGAGTGGATGGGAACCTGCTCAGAACAAACATGCTGGCCTAAGGGAAAGATTTTGATCTGTGAAACTTAAGCTTTTGGTTCTTAAAACACTCTCATATTGGATCATGTGGTCCATTTGCATGAAATAAATGATTTGCTCAAAACTTGTAAAACTATAAAATAGAACTTGACAAGTCATTAGCAGTAAGTGGTATCACACTGGCATTATACTAACACTGGTGCAATCATTAGAAAACTGCTGCTACAGCAAAGAACAGAAAGATAATGGGGCCAGCCTGTAGTCTGACCTAGAGGTGTTAGATCATTGCTCCACACAGTAGATACCACAATGCAGTCCAAATTATTGACTATCCTTCTTCATTACTGATCTACTCAATGTTCTGAGCCACTGTCCTTTGTCATTTTTTCACACAAAACAATTAGTCCAAGTTTTAAAATTTATCACTTTTTCCACCTAGAGATATGTGACCTAGTTTAGGAAAAAACAAAGAATAGAAAAAAAAAAAAAAAAACAACACTGAATTTTAGTATGGGAATTTAATCAAAACCTGTAGGAAGGATAACATTATTTACCTGTTATTTATTAATTTTTATATTGTTTTTGTTTTCGTCCTGAACTAGGAATTCAATTAATGAAGTTTCTGCATGTTGACAGAAGTTATGGATATAACTTTTCTATTCTGGAGGGCAACAAACGGTATTCAGCATCTCATTAGTTCAGTTTGCAATTTCAAGATAGTTTTCTTTTTTTTAAGACATACAATGTTTGGAAAATCTCAGCTAGACATCTGGATTCCTGAAGTTTGCCTACCATTCATTTTAAGGCTAGAGTCATTCTGTGATGAGATTTGTAAATATCCACTTGTGATTACTGCCAAGACAGGAAATACATGTAAAACCTAAGATTTTTACCATTTGTTGCACAACACCTTCACTGCATTGATTTTGTCAATGTGTCAACTTTTTGTCAGTGACTCGGGCATCTGAGTTGGCTCTGTGTGTGATATTTTATACAAATTACTGGATGCACTAAACTATATGCTTGCAAATTATTTGCCTGCAATTGTACATATGCTGATGAGATGTAATAACATTAAGACCATGGCGCTCAAATCCCACTGCAGTCTTCAAGATGATGTTTTTCTCATGCATTCCCCATGAGTATACATACCTTTGTAAAATGAGAGGGGTAAGTATGATACTGCAGTTTCCAAGGCTCATTAAGATCTTAATTCCTCTTCTGAGTCATCACGAAGCATAAGGCATGGCTTTGAGTTTCTGATGTGGAGCAGGAGCTGAGATTTAACAGCCTGATTGCATGAGGACTCTGGTGCAGTGAATGTATGCTGGTGCATATGACCAAATTGATATCATATTTAACTAGTTAATTTTATTTCAGAGATCACAACAAATTGTGCTTTACAAATGACAATGACACGATAACTAGTGACCATAAACATCAAAGAAATAAATGAAAAGGAATTGAGAATGCGAACAGATGTTATAAACCAGAAAAGAAACATTAGTAATATAAGATTGCAATAGATCTCTTTGTGAATCTTTGGGGAAATGAAGTGAAAAATATTTTGGATAAAGCATTGTAACTGCACATAGGCCAAGACAGTACAGAAAGTCCCAGTTCAATACTCTGAGAGACTAGAGGTGTTTCAGTCAGCTGCTGGAATCAGAACCTCGTCAGTGTTTACCATGCATGACCTCATTGGTATTGTCTAATTAAGAATAATCCTTAAGGATGAGAAATATAATAATTTTTACTGGTGTTTCAAGGAGTTCATAATAAGTGGACTTGAGGGAACAACTGAAGATCATTTGTTTGACAGAAGAAAATAAGCTTTTATTGTAGAAGAGGCAATATGAACATGTAACCTTATTATCACAATATTATTCTTCAGAGGTTTTTTAGTCTAATGAAGAAAAATAAAACTGTAAGAATTTCAGCATATGCTTGATCCACTTCAACTTCATTGATTTAAAATATATCTCTTAAAAATAAATTATTTGTTGAGAAATACATTTCCTTCGTATGGTGTCTGGAAGATAATGGCTTTTATGCACAGTGTAATATTTTTAACATGAAAAAATCTGAAAGGAATTCAACCTCCCAGTGAATCTGATCGGATTGTTAGAGAATACATTTTCAATGCTTCTTAACCTATATGCTCATGTGCAGGACATAAGGAAATGGTACCACCTCGTCTTCTTCTAGAACATAGTCCAAGAAAGAAACCAGCAGCTAATGAAGGCAAGTTTGAGTTTTTTCCTTCTTTATTGGCTTCTTCTCATTAACTTTACCCTCTGTTTTAATGGATTTTGTTTATAAATATAACCTATATTATAAAACTGATCAAACAATTAGGCCTGGAACATGAATGGCACAATCATATTTACATTCCTTATAGTAGTCCCACAGATGGCTCAGGGGATTTCCTGAATGAAATAGATTACAGGATCAAGGCTCAATCTATGAAATGCTTTGGGTGGTGTTCAGCCATAAGGTGTTATCTAACTTTAAACATAATCAACGTTATCCTCTTAATATACTTCGGATTACTCTTCCAGCTATTGTTATTCAGTAATGTTTCTGTGTATTATCTTCAATAACAAACATAATATTTCTGGCTCTACATTAATCAACCCTATTCCTATTGTTAAAACCACTGAAAGAAAAAAACAAAGTCAGATCTTACCTTCAGAAGATTAAAACATAAACCCTGAAACTGTATTGTATTGTTTACAGTCTAATCATATCAGCAAAAATGTTGAAATATGCATTTTAATTTTAATATGGATTGTGGTTGATGACTTAAAACTACTACTTCAATGTACAGTCTTGGTCTCTACACCATACAATTTAATAGTACAAAACATGTGAGTCTTTTCATGTAATTATATAGCAGTTTTCCTATAATACTTTGGAGTTATTCAGTCACACCATGGCACTTGTAAATCTCTCTCATAGAAGTTTTAGTCCTATATTATCCAGAAAACAATTACAGTCTAAGGAAAAGACAGATGGGGTGGCAGCAGAATAAGGAACAAGAGCTACAAGATTTGCCTGCATTTGGAAATGGAAAATGAGAGATAGGTTTTGGCAGAACCTATGACTAAAACAAAGAGTTAAATTAATTAGCTACTTCTGTAAGATGATTATTGTGAATCAGAATGTATGGATAAAAATAGTTACATGACATATTATCTGTTTCCCCAAAATCCCTTTTACCTTAATTGTACATTTCTTTATAAACACACTATTTAAAGGAGTATAAAACTGTGGTTATTGTGACACAATATAGTATATAAATAGATTTGCAGTCCTGCTTATTTTAGGAAAATGTTTGAACCCTGCTTATCAGCAAAAAGAAGTCCCTGCAATGTTAAACACTGTTATCCACCAATTAAGCATAATGGAAAAAAAGACATAATAGAAAAAAGGGGCTGTATTTGCTGAGTGATAAACTTGATCTTTAAATATAACTGTTAGACAACATGAACTAGCATCAAATTAACATTAAGTTCTTGATTTTCAAAATCATGAGGAGCATGCAATTACTGCAATTGCACATGGAAATGACTGTTTATGACCAGTTACACATTTGTGTGTTTCATTAGCTCATTTATGCATGCAATTGAGTTAATTGTGAATGTAAATTAGACACCCATTTGGCAAACAAATTGGGGGGCAGATTATCTGCTCAGAATCATTCAACTAAATTCCTTGTAAGGCTCAAGGCCAGTCACTAGGATACAATAATGTTCATGCAAGAGTTTTGGAGGAAATGAAGAAGGAAGAATTACTTGCAAAATGCTGCTGTGAAAAGCTGTTACATTGCGCTATTGTGTGGTTTCCATATATGAGAAAATATGGCACAGAGCTGTTAGGAACCCTAAACCCTGAATCTTTAATTCAGCCCTGGGAAAAATAATTAAGTAAATTATGGGAATATTTGGCACAATGTCAGAAGGGAAAAAGAGAAGTAGGCAGAGGAATTTAAATCTCTGAAGTAGTTTAAGAGATCTCTCTCTGTGCCTTCTTAATGCATACATACCTTTATGACTGGTACATCACTAAATACAACTGACTAGGTAAAGGGACAGATTGAAACAAAATATTCTTCTTATCATAAATATAGTTGAAGATAGGATAATAAATTCTCAGAACATGGAACAAACACAAGCGTTTGGTAGCTGAGAAATGTAATTTATATAACATGGAAGGACTGGCCCAGCCTTTGACAGAAAAAAACAGCTATGAAAAAAGGAAAAAACATAGGAAGTAACAGAATCATTGTCATACAGAAAATTTATTAAACCAATCTATTTAGACTCTAGGTTTTCCAACTCAGTGATATTCACACACTGGATACAAAACCATGCAGCCAGTAAAGGCTGAAAAGATTTTATCATTTTTCTAGGTTGTGATGTGTTTACTATTGTCTTGCTTTGTCACTGCCATCTTAGGTAATCTTGGACCATTCTTGATCTCTGATAAGGTGAAAATAGTGTCAGTATACATGTCAGATGTCTCTAACATTTTTAGATTACTTGATACTTTCAAACAGAAAGCTTTTCCTGGATAGTATCCCATGTCCAGTAGAAACTATGCTCTGCTGAATTGGTGAGGTCTTATAAAAACAGGATATTGTTACTATGTATTAAATCTCAACCTTTCTCTCTTTGTCATTGCCATTTTCTCTTCCTTACAACTTCCTCACACCTCCACAATAAATCTTTTGGAAAAGGGTGATTATGTAAGACAATCTCAATTTTTACATTGTATTCTAGTAGTATGAAATAAATTGCATTGAAGTGTGTGCGTGTGAATTGAACTTTTCAGATATCTCCTGCTTGAAAAGAAAAATACTTTGTACTTATCTGGTCAGAAGGGAAAAGAACAGATCATTGCTCTCCTGTTTCATGGTGGTTTGACTCTTTTCAAAAAGCACTGCTGTCTTGAGATCTTACACTCAAAGTTCAATGAAGAGTTTGGGGTTTCAGATTACAGACAGAAGAGAATAGCAAAACAAAACAAAAGATCATATAACAATAAACAAGAGAAAGAGGGAAAGTGAGTTTGTGAAGAGAAAGATATTGATACATAACTTCTACTTGTGTTCCAACTTGGAAACATTGTTTGGTAAACCATGAAGTAAAAGACCTAATTTTAAATTCTTTATCTTATCGTTTTCTGGAGCATTCACAAGGACTTGGAGGCAGCTCTCTCAGCTTGGCTGACACTCTGATGCTACCATCTAGGGAGGACACTGGTGATGGCTGTAATTTGAACAGATCTGTTCTCCATGGCTGTCTGAACTTTGACTTTAATATGCTTCTTCTTTGACTATAGCCTTCTTCACCTCTTTTAACTCTAGCTATCTTGTACTTTGTTATCCACTGACATCTTAAAACTGCTCTGCAGTGTACATTGATTCTGTGAGTCCCTCTCTCAGATTTTGACGTTTTTGCCCAGCTCACATAGCTTTTATCTTCCTCTATTTCCTCTTTCACCTGAGAATGACTCTGCTTTCTGGTAGTCCTCCCATGGTACGCTCCCTGACATGGCAGGGTCATCTCTCAGGAAGATGTCGCAGTTAGACAAGAAATCTCAAAACTAAGCTCAGAGGCTTTGCTAGTTATTAATAAGGCTTCGTACTAATCGTTCCAGAATAGCATGTCTTTGCTTTCTTACAAGATCACAGCACCTTTGTGAGAAGCTTGTATCAAAATATTTCTCTCATTGGAAGGCATCTTAATGAATATTGCATATGATCTCAACAGACAGTATGCTTTGTACCACATTGAAGAGTGTTGTATCACAAAAATCTTTGAACAGCATTTTATCTGAGTATGATTTTCCAGATTATATATATTGTCCTAGAAATCTGTTCTTGTATTTTTGAGTGGGAGAGCATTTATCATGGAAGAGTCATCAACATAACCATTCTGATCTGTTAATGGATCGTGATGGACTCCGAAATATCCCTCTTCTTTGACTGAAGTATACTGGCAGTTCTTTGCCATCTTGCTCATATTTGTGATATTAAATTAACTAAAAAACAAAAATTTAAGATCTCTGTAATGTCTTCAGATGATCTCTAAGGAAATAAAAGTATTTTCTCTAGATCACTGTTTGAATCCTCTAATTACAGATTTTGCAGAATGTAGTAAAGTGGGTTGCTGTGAAATATGTTTAACTTCCTCCAAAACTCCTGCAGAGGTTAAATTGGTATTGAAATAAAAATCTGCACCAATCTTTGCTGCTATATAGAATGTACACTGACTATCTGAAGAAGAATGTCTAGTCTATACCTCAGTTCATTAATATAACATTAGGGGATATAACCAGGAGTATCTAAATTACTAAAGCCAATACAAATTTTGACAAAGCTCTCTTGATGTATAAAAGAGTATACTCTATACAAATCAATCTATACAAATCAATCTACCTCTGTACAGTCTGTCAATGGCTGCCTTCTCTTCTGTACACAGATTTTTATATAAAACCTTTTCTTTTTCTTTTGTACTATAAAATCAATTACCCTTAAAAAAATCCTTCTAGTGAAAACCAGTGATTCACGATACAAGAGAAATGCTTAAAAAATGCATAATTTTGAAGTTTTAGCCAAAATTTATAAAAATTTTAATAATATTAACATGATTTTTGGATGAAAATCCATTTTCTGATAAATTTTAATCCAGGAGAGAATAAAAAAAAAAAAAAAAAATGTTTCTTCTCAGAAAATAGGTTTTAATCTTGTTTATTAGAAGAAACAGTTTAGGTAGCTTTAACAAGCTACTGTATATTCCGCATAAAAACAAGTTTTTTGAGACATATGGGCCCTACCTCTCCATGAATCTGTACTGAAGACGGCAAAACCTTTGAAATAATATGCACAGGGTCTCAAAGTGAGTTATTTAATGATTTAGATTAGACATTTAAGCAGTAAACTCTAATGATTTGAGATAATGAAAAAAGCCTAAATCTTCACTGTTTCAGAAAGACCTTGACATTTTACTTAATGACATAAGGCTCTTCTGTACTACTTTTATTCTAGCATAAGACAGAAAAAAATATACAGACATTGGGAAAAAATCTTACTAGAATGTAGAAAAATTATGTACAAAGATATATATATTGATTATACATATTACTGTTTTATTATTATTATTGTTATTATTAATAATAATAATAATAATTCGATTTACAATATTAAATTATGCATTTAAAAATAAATGTTCACCAAA